AACATGCAAACAGCAATACAAACCAGATTCTCGTTTGTTTATAAAGTTTGGAAACCGTGTTTTGGCATTTAAATAAAACAACAACGTTGCAAATAAAACATTGCCTGTCTGTATTTCAAACACAATGTCACATTACATTTGGGAAATAATGATAACAAGTTCAATAATATTAATAATAAAGATTATAAAAATCAAAATAACGTCCATGATGATTATAATAATAAAAATATCGGTAATGCTTGTATTACTAGTAATAATATTAATAATAATAACATTTATATTAATGTTGTTAGTGATTATACTATTAATAATAATGTTGATAACGTTTATAATAATTATCATGATAATATTAATAATAAAGATGCAAATAAAATAATCTGGTTAATGATTATAATATGGTTAATAATAATGTTGATAATGTTTGTAATAATGATAATAATAATAACAACACTGATAAAGACGCTGTTAATGATAATAATAATAATAATGTTGATAAGAATTATAACCATGATAATATTAATAGTAATAATAATGAAGTCGATAATAAAACTAACATTGTTAATGATTATAATATTAATAATAATATTGACGATTATAATAATGATAATGATAACATTAATAATAACGTTGCTAATAAAATAATCTTGTTAATGATTATTATTAGGTTAATAATAATGTTGATAATGATTATAATAATGATGATAATAATAATAACGCTGATAAAGATAATGATATTAATGATTATAATAATGATAATGTTGACAATAAAACCAATATCTTTAATACTGATAATAATAACAATATTAATAATAATGTCGATAATTATTGTAATAATAATGCTATAAATAAAGTTGATAATAATAGTGATAATTATTATAACAGTATTAATATGAGTTATGTCAATAATGATTGTAAGAATTTTTATAATAATGATGATGATAGCAATAATTAAAATGTTGTTTAGGATTGAAATAATAATGATTATAATACAACTACTATTAATAATAGTTATAATGTTGATAATGATTATAATAAAAATGATTATAACGATAGAAATGTTAAGGAGAGGGATGGAATAATAACAACTAGGAAGGTGAAAACCTTACTAATAAGTATAATGTCAATGACTGTATTAACTCAAACGTAATGACATCATTAGAAGTAATATTTTTATCAGTTTAAGAACACCGTTGTAGCAATAAATATCAAAAAAAGAAATAATAATAAGGAAAATAAAACTCATAATAAAGTAAGGATAATAACGGTAGGTGAAGATGTAATGATGATAATACCTGACGAAAAACAAGAGCGTTACAAAAGATGATCGTAATGTAAAACGAAGTCGATAGTAATGTATAAGAAAGCGACAAGAAGAGAAAAGAGAGAAAGTGTGAAATAATGAACGAAAAATGAAAGAGAATAAGAAGCAGAATCCATTTCCAGAGAATGAAACTAGTTAGAAACATGGAGGGAAAAGAGGAAACAAAAAAAAAAAAGAATGAAAAAGAAAAGAAAAGGATGAAGAGAAAGAAAAAAAAAAGACGACGAAAGACAAGGAAGACAGGACGACATCAAAAGAGGGGGTGAAAAAAAAAAGTAAAGGTAGGAAATTAAGCGGCGTCCAACATTGTGTGCAACCCGCCAACAAAATCACGTGGTTCATAAGCAATAAGCCAGCTTTTCGTTTCACCCGGTCACGAAATCTCGCGTGAGCCGATCACGTGACGAGATAGCAGATTTTTTCGATATCTTAATGTAGCCATATTTCTCGTTGCGTGCTCCGCTGCTCGCTTCAGAGGGCTGGAGAATTTTCGTATCCGAACACCATTACTCGTTTACGGATGGAATGATACAGAATGCATTGTACTCAGTGTGCACGGGAGCTAATTACTGGTATGGAAGCTCATAATGTCATCTTCTTTTCACTTCAAAAACATATTTCAGCTGACAATGATGAGATTTCAATAATCATTGTATATTTTCTGTTGTGTATTCCGACACCAGCTACATTTTATTTACTTGAGACTGAAGCCAGCCTGTCTCGACAAATATAGGACAAAAACTGAATAATTCAATGATTTATTATTATTATTATTATTATTATTATTATTTAGCCCGCTTGCTATTATTATTATTATTATTATTATTATTAGGCAACAAAACATGAAAGATGCAATAGAACAAATTACCATCAAAAGTGGATAAAATAAAGATGGAAAATTTAAATGTCTTGATATATACATATCTTTGTGTTATGTACACAGATATATAGATAGATAGATAGATCGATAGATAGATAGATAAGAAAAGAATAAGATATATAGATATGAATAGAATAGATACGAATATATAGATACAAATAAATATGAGATAGATAGATAGATAGATAGTGTTGTGGTGTCCTCCTCCTAAAGAATCTATGTTGGACTCTTCCGCCTAGTATAAGATTAATAGGAGAGAATGCCTTGAGGGGACAGTCGAACAGATTGAACGTTGGGTCAACCGACACCCACTCACTAGTCGTGTACTACTCTTCTGTTGTACTTACTGTTTAATATATGATATATCTGTAATACTTGTTTTGTTATTTCTTTAACCATTTACTTAGTCACAACAGACAGACAGACAGATAGATAGATAGATAGATAGATAGATAGTGTTGTAACAGAATGTTCCACACTCCCTATTGCTTATGTGGACTGACTATATCAGTCTATATATATATATATATATATATATATATATATATATATATATATATATATATATAGTAAGCACAGAGATAGAATTTGAACGTTTGACATTTTTTTGATGAAGAGGCAGCATAATTTAACAATAATTATTTAATTGTATGTTAATAAAAAGGATCTTTAAGAAATAAAAGAATAAAAGACAAGAAAGATTTATCAAAATTACAAAACCGGAAAAAAAGAAGGAACTTAAATCAAAATAATAAAATAAATAAATGAACTAGCCAAAACTTAAAAGTACATACATCATATAAATAAATCAAATAAATAATAAAATAATAAATTATATAAAATTATATTTAACAGAGTATAGCAGTTAAGTAAAGCGTTTTTATGTGTAGTATTAATAAAACAAAACAATAAGAAATGTTAAAACGTCAGCCGAACGTATATACCTCTATATAAAATATTATCAATAATGTTAAAGGAATAACGTACATATTATAGTACCTCAAAAAACCTAACTTAATCAGGATAAGTTTAAAATATCTACCACAGAGTCATTCATCATAAAAGAAGTGATTATTAAATTTTAAAGTTTAGCACAATTGTAAGGTCAAAGACGAAATATGCTGATTATCTGCCTTTTTTCCTGTAAACAGAGAAAACAAGGTTCATGCAAGGATCTACATGTTAGAGCTAGTTTAAAAATTTTTCATTTATCTTTAGGGGTTTTATTTTCTTCTTTCAACTTCCAAAAATATTTTGAAAGTGAAGTTCTATTTCTATAAGTAGCATTAGTAAAAGAAGATAGGTGCTTATAGCAACGATCTTTGAAAGTGTTCATAGTGCTTTCAATATAAAACTTTTCAATCCTCGGATTTTCTATTGAGGAAATAGAACACATATACACAAGGGACGTAGTCAATCATTTGTTAGACAATGGGAATTTGTTAAAATTCTTACAATTACATTGGTCACTATCCTTAACCATATCAGAATTAGTACTTGCATTATGGTTATTATTGTTAAATTTGTTAATTGCTTTATTGTTGTGCAACTTAATTATTTTCTCAAGATTATTAGTACAACTATAGCTAAGTTTTAATGTATTCCTATTAACATTTTTACTCATAAATTGCTTAATTTTAGAAACTTATGTCCTAATTTTGTACTAGCTAATTGATCAAATGGAGGTGTGTACCTGATGATCTTTCCGTTTTTCTTTCTTTCCTTAGAACTACCAGTATATTCTATAAACTGATTTTCTGAGGACTTATACCCACTATCACTAAGGACTTTATTATATACAGTTCTTTGTTTCTCAAAAGCATCTTCGTTAGAAGACTGTTGGCTAATCCGACGTTCTACAGAGGAAGGAATATGTCGGGTTACGGTGGTTGGAATTAGGATAGATATACATTGGGTTGGCATTGTTCTTTATATGAGGCTGAAGATTTTCACAGACTAAATTTAATGTTATATCTAGATAATCAACCTGTTTGATATTAGTAGTTATTTTCACATTAAGATCTAATTTCTTAAATTCACCATGAATCATTTTCCTACGTTTATCAACTGTACTTCTCTTAGAGTTTTTTTTTACAATCATGCAACCATCATCCCTCTATAGACCTATACTAACTAGAGTAATCTCATCATAAGCAGTAAAATTATACAAAATAAATAATCCAACAATATATATATATATATATATATATATATATATATATATATATATATATATATATATATATGCAAGTTTCGTTAAAACGACTGACACGGTGCTGTGGTTAAGTTTTTTATATCTTATATTTTTTAATGTTGCTTCCCATGAAACTTGCATAAAGAGAGATTGCTGCCCAAATACACAACTATTAAATTACATGTTCTGCTAGCCAACAAAGAAAGTAACACTAAAAAATTATATGATATAAAAATAACTTAACCACAGTACCTTGTCAATCGTTTTTAAGGAAACTTGCATTAAAGAGGGATTCCTACCCGAATACGCAATATATATATATATATATATATATATAATTATCCTAATTTATTCACTGTCATTTTAAGGATATATTTTCGATATATTTTAGTTATATCACACACACACACACACACACACACACATATATATATAGATATAGATATAGATATAGATAGATAGATAGATAGATAGATAGATACAGAGAGAGAAAGAGAGAGAGAGACCGAGAGAGAGAAAGAGATAGATAGAAGTGGAAGGGACAGAACTACTGCGTTGTCACACCAATAAATTTGATCCCAAATAATGAATAAAAAACAACACATTTATTTTGTGCGTGTATATGTATTTACAGTAAATCTTATGCATGAATTTAATAATAATAGTAATAATAATAATAATAATAATAATAATCTAAATAGCAATCAGGTTTCCATAGTTAATTGCTGTCCGAGAGAAAACGTGAAGGTCAACAGTTAAATAATCATTTACCGAAAATTTGGTATTATTAAAGTTACATTGATTTAGTCAATGAAAATTCTATTCTTCAGGCATGGTGTCAACGAGCCTCCTCAAAACTCAAGAACATTTTGGAGAATCCTCGTTGAGAAAATGGTGGCAGTTCTCTGGAGGTCTATAATTTTGGTCTTCTTCTAATTATTATCATTTTTATTTCTGCTATGGACACACTACCTCTTCTGCGGAAAGACCTAAGGCAGGTCGTGGTGTGTTTTATTACATTTCATGTTATTTTTTTTTTTTTTTTTTTTTTTTTATCTCCGATGAAGTTGCTATTACATAGACAAAGTTCTCCTTATGTGTGTGCTGTACTTAATAAGACAATTTTCTGTATGTCTCTTAAGCTGGGGTTTCCAGGATTTTTCAATGTGTTGTTTTGTTCCATTTTTATATTCCAAGTGCACCTATTACCACTGGTATTATTCTTGTTTTCAATTTCCACATTTTTTCTATTTCTATTTCCAGGTCTTTGTATTTTGATAGTTTTAATTATTAATTAAATTATTATTATTATTATTATTATTATTATTTAGTATCATAATTCTGTTGTGTAAGTCAGGTAATAACAAATGACTTGAACAGACAATACTTTTCGAAGTATTCTATATAACAGGGGTGGCCAAAATCGCTTAATGTAAGAGCTACACACAATAAACTTCAGATATTTGAGAGCCGCAAGACATGAACAAAATTTATACATACGTTTTTGTTACATACACATTTTGTTACAAAATGTTTATATAAATATTAAGAAATGTATGTCTAATAATGTTTATTCACGTATGCAGTTTTTTTAAAACTGTTTACTAAACGTGAACATTAAACTTACCTTTTCATCCAATGGCGACAAAATTTTATCCAGTAAATAATTATAAAGCTTTAAATTTTTAAAATTAACCTTTTATACTAACTGTGATGAAAAAAGGAACTCAACAAACATATTTCCACGAGTCGTATATTAAAGGTCAGAGAACCACATGTGACTCCCGAACAGCGCTTTGGCCTGTCCTGCTGCTATATAAGGCATATTTTTGTAGCGTTCACAAAGTCTGTTTTACACTAAGTTGGTCGATACATAATTTAAAATTACAATCAGATGGAACTGAGTGCTCCAATCTTTACTGGGATGACTAACATATATTTGGTCTTCGGTGTTCAATAATTCGATATGTTTCAAAGTCTTCGTCCCAGACTATCTCTGATTTGTGTCATCTCCTTCCATTACTCTCAGTTAGACATGATATCGTACCGTTTCTCAGGAATCATGTAGTAGTACGATCATGTACTATTATTATTATTATTATTATTATTATTATTATTATTATTTCCGTTGATTTCGGGTATGTACTTATTACTTTCCGGGACCTTATGTCAGAAATGGCATCATGGAATTTTCCACTGGTCATTTTTGAAAAAAAAAGATCACATATTTTGCATAGATAAAGCCCTTCGTAAGATGTGAGCTATACTCGTGACTACAATTCTTTTTATATATCTTTTATATACCTTTAAGGCATGAGTTACCAGAAATCCCTTCAACGAGTCTATCGTAACATTTTCCAATCAATCCGAGTGCTCCCACTACAACTGGAATTACTGATGTCCTCATGTGCCACATTTATTGAGATTTCCACTTCAAGATCTTTGTATTTTGATAGTTTTTTGAAGAACTTCAAAGATACATTACAATCTTCTGAGACTGGCATATCAATAAGAAAGCACATTTTGTTCTTGTGGTTTTTGATTACGATGCCTGGGCGATTAGCTTAGATTGTTCTATTTGTGTGTATTGTACAGTCCCATAAAATTGTCACAAGTTCTATCTATGTAACCATAAAAGTTGCATATTTTCCAGTGTCGATATTGGTCCCTTCTATCATGCCGAGGTTTATATTTAATCGGTGCCAACACTGTGCAGGCTGATATAAGATGGTCAATTGTTTCTGGATATTTAACACAGAATCTACATTTGGAGCCAACACATTTTTTTCAGTATGTGTGCTTGGTAATTTTTAGTTAGCAAACATTAGTCGTGTGCAGCAAGAACGTTTCAGCTTTTAAGCCTGCAGTTCGTGACCACTGATGGGCATGGGTTTTATCTACATCAGCTTGTTGGGTACGGGCAGAGTATTGACCATGAAGAGGCTTACCTTACCATTGTTTCTGTATTTGGTACATTGCATTTGCTTCTGCTTCTGTTGTTTTTTTAGTCTGATGCAGTAGGTGTATTTTGGTTTACTTGGACTTTATTATTATGATTATTATTATTATTATTATTTTATTTCCTTCGATTTCTGGTGTGTACTCATTTCTTTCCGGTTACCACCATGAGACCGAAGGTCAGAAATGGCATCATGACATTTTCCACTGAACAATCATAAAAATAAAACAAACACACACACTCACATATTTTTCATAGATAAAGCCCTTCGTAAAGCGTGGGCTGTAATCGTAAGAATATTTTTTTGTATTTCTTTAAGACATAGGCTACCAGGAATCCCTTAATGGGTCTATTGGAATCTTTCCCAACCAATCCAAGGGCTACAACAGAGATTGTTGATGTTCTCATGTGCCACATTTCGATTTCAAGGTCCTTGTATTTTGATAGCTTTTTGAAGATCTTCAAAGATCATTGCAGTTTGTAGGGACTGCCATATCATTAAGGAGGCAATTTTGGTTTGCGGACTCTAATAACGATGTCTGGACGATTAGCTTTTCTTCTTCTTCTTCTTCTTCTTCTTGACTTATGCAGAGATTGAACTTAGAGAATTTATTACGTCAGTAAAGCAGGTGATATTGTCAACTCCTTCATGTTAAGATATACGGTCTATACTTGAAATATTCGTGTCGAATCTATTTAAGAAACAGTTTTATCGTACGCTCCAGCACTTCAGAAATTTTTTGGAATGGTCGATGAATGATGAAACAGAGAAGATCGATTCAACTGATCACACAACATTTCGCCCATTTTATGCATTCTGTGACTAAAAACATAAAATCAATCGTACACTTTAAAACTCTTCTAAGTATTGTAAAATTTTAATTGTATTAGTTTATTTAGGCTTGACCGGAAATAAATTAAACGGCTAGATATTGATTTGTAATGAAATACTAGTCAATATGAATGGATACAATTATTTTGTAGGGGCTTTTAAGACGATGAATTATCATTATTTTATTCATTTTTATTTGAACCAGCATGCATAGTAAAAGAACTAAAATGAACATTTTTCTGATGCCGTGTCCCTTAAGGATGTAGGCCATCAACACTCACTACATATTTTACTTGAATTGGAATGCCTTCTTAGGAAAGACACTAGAGTAGTTTCCCGTATCTTCTCCTCATTTTGGAATTCAGAGCTTTCCTTCTCTTAAACTTGTTGCTTCTATTTAATCCATAACCTGGTTGGAAGAGCAAATAGATTAATACCATTTTATATGCCATGGGATTGCTGATACGAATAGCAAGTCATATATCAATAAAATTTTGTTAGAAAGATAAAAGAATCTAAATTAATAAGTAAATAGTTCTTTCACTTGTGTAATGGTGATTTTCTAAGCGTAGATTAGATGCGGCACAAAGCCGAAAGAATGGGGCACCCAGTGCAGATCGTAATTGATTTAACGAGGCAACCTTGCTAGCCACTCCACAACGTTGAACCGGCCTTTTCTCTTGAATAATGATCATTAATTTCAATCGTCTTTTCATTTGCTCTCAAGAATACGCCGGCTTCGTCACGTGCAAAGGAGTAAACTCACCCTAAAAGGGGTTACCTGTTTGTCGTACTTATCTCTGCCTGTTAGACCTGCGTGCAAACAGGATCTATATGCCTACCAATATATTGTTTATGAAAAAGGCAATTATTTTTAAATGATTTTGAAAATGTTGATATGCTGTAAAACAAACGAAGAGTATCCTCTTCTTTTCAGATAGGATTTAAGACAAACGTGTAGCAATAATATCAAAATATTTTTCATGAATTATTGTAAATTATTTTTTTTATTAATTTATTATAAATATTATGATTGAAAAAACACGTGTGCCAATGACATAAAATATTTTCGCTTATATTTGAATATCTTATACTTACTCAGGGCTTTATAGAAGATAGTAAACTAAATCAAGAAGAAAGGACTACAGACAGAATGCATGGTTAGCAAAAGGATGAGCACAAACAGCGAATATGGGTATCGAATAAAAACAAACAAACATTTAAGTGATAAAAATCTGTCGGATTAATAAAATAAGTACTTCATTTTATATGCATATATATATATATATATATATAAATATATATATATATATATATATATATATATAGAGTCTTCCACAGACAGACTATTTCGCAGGTCATCGGTGTGGACATACACCCGATTGTTTCATGCCGGGATCGAAACCAGACCGATTTGGCATAAGTCAGAGAATCTACTAACAAGCTATCGTCGCATGAATGCGAGGAAGGAAAATTTTAACGTTTTTACTATGCGACAGACGTCAGTAGCTAGGCGAGCTCGATTCGAATAAAAGAGTTATTATGTGTGTGTGTGTGTATATATATATATATATATATATATATATATATATATATATATATATATATATATATATATATATATATGCAGAAATAGTTTTGTGGTATGGTATATTTATGGGATGAAGTGCTCAGAGATAGAGCGTATGTAAATATCAAATAAAAAAGTGGACATTGAAGTCAACACTCAGACGCAACAGACTCTTTCGTGATAAACGCAATCGTCAGACCTATATATATATATGTGTGTGTGTGTGTGTGTGTGTGTGTGTGTG